TCTAATAATCATACGACTGTAATTCTTTCTTGTCGCAATTTCTTGTTCCTTTTGTAGAGAAAGGCAGTATCAACATCACACTGTTCTCAGCCCAATACAATCGAGTACAATACGGCCATGGAATGGTGTCTTCTACACCAAAAGTCAGATTTATGGTGGGACGCTTTATATAAGGTGCTCCGAATTTTCCTAATCATAGCACACTACGTTGCACACTAACCATTTTTCCATGATACATAATGTTGACAAGACATTTTTCCGGAGCTATTCATGCGCATTCTGTTCGATGTTACAATCACAGTACTGTTTTTGTGTAGAATTTTTTTTTTTTAATTTCTTCCTAGTTGCCGAAGGGTCACTAGTCAAACTTAAGTGATTTTAGATGGGAGATAGTGAGGTTTATGTGATTGCTAAGAAGACGGTTTTCGTAACTGTTGGAACTACTAGTTTTTTATGCTCTTGTTCGAACGGTGGATGCGCATGAGGTTAAGAAGAGTTGTCAAAAAGAGGGTATACTCGGCTTCTCACTCAACCGGCCCGCGGATTCTATATTCCCTCGAAAGGCTGAAGGAGGAGATGAGCCCCTTGCTGTTGACTACTTCACGTTTTCTTCAAGCATTGCAGACAATCTGAGCAGCATCTCTTGTGATCAGACATGTAAGGTCTCTCATTTCATCAATGTTGGATTTACTCTCAACACCCTCCTCATGTGTGATGGGTTTTCAAGCCTAACATGTGTACAACACAACTCGGGTGATGTGTGTGGCCGTTGGGCTTCACACGTAGGACAACTTGTTCTGATACCATGAAAAAAGTTGAGGTTCCATCATAAAACCAATTAACAGTGTCGTGAGAGTAGCCCAACTACTTATAAGCACATGTATGCAAGATCCCTCTTCTCATCAATGGAAAATTCAGTCTCAATAGTTTCTATGTAGAAAAACAAATTTTAATTTTGCAATTAATTAAGAAAAACTTCATACACTTTTAAACCTGACTTGGGGTAAGTTTTGAAAATTCAGTACTGTGAGAAAAAGAAACACTTGATTTGTTTTGTTTGTTCACAGATTTGGGATTTCTGACTCTACATGTGTATGTCTCCCAGTGCTGGCGAATAATTCTTTTTTTTTTAACCTTCTAATATTTTACTTTTCATCCCCTTTGGTGCCCCTTCTCTGCAGGAACATGGAAAGGAGATTAGAGACGTTATTAAAACAAAAAAGCACTTGTAATTAGCTAGACACGCTCGGTGAGCTTGCATCATTGGCTGAAATTGTTTTTCTGTTGGCTGTGTTTATAATCCTTGGCTGAGCTTAGTTAGTACTAGTCATATTTTTGCAGGAGAAAGTTGTGTTTCTTTTGTGGACTACAGTAGAGTCGGGTTGCCCCAAAAATTGGACAGCATACAGGGTCCTGCCCGCGTGGGGGATTGTTGTAAATCGCTGCCATGGTAGACTTCAGGTTTGTGTAAATCTGTGATAAAATATAATTTTGTAACCTTGGGAGGAATTATTGGTATCGAGTTCATCAGATAGTATGTCTTAATTATTGTATAAGGAGTTTTAGTCAGCTTGTGATATGTGCCACTTGTGTAACAACTCTTGTTCACTACAAGTTGAGCGTTATGATGCGCCTAAATATAACGTTTCACCATTCATGGCTGACCATAAATTCCCATCGTCATATTTATAGGGTATTTCCCTTTGCGTTTCTTTTTCTTACATACATATACTCATGCTCATTTTACTCGTTTGTGAATGGCTAGCTGAGAGTGATTTTAACACACAACCTATTATCTGGTTCTCTCTTTAGTGACAAGTAATTTTGCAGTGTGACCATAACACCGTTAGTGGTGATAATAATCCACTTGTCTTAGTCTGTCTACCCATTAATACTACTATACCCTAAAGTATAAATCCGTCCTACCCATTGTGGGACGAATCAAGCGAATGGGGCCTAGTTCCAAGGGAACAGTCATTCAAAGAGAAACGTACGTCATGAATTGAAGCCCAACCCATAGTCCATCCATCCATAGGTTTTTAGGCAAGAAAGAATCCCAAATCTTCCAAAATCCTTTTTCCTTTGACAAAGAATCACACTTGTTTTGGGTCTTTGAATTGCTACCGCAAACATATTCCCTTTTGCTTTGATCAGATCGTGTTGGGTGCTGGGTTAAGAAGTCAGCACCAAGTAACTGGTATCCGCACTTATTCCACACGTTTTTACCCACCTTTCTATCCTTAAAAGCATTTTTTCTTTTATGCTTCGTACCATTGGGTGGTTCGAAAAATCAACGATTAGATCTTTACATATAAGTATCCAACGAATCTTTGTAATGGTTATGAAGGAAGTTGTTCTATCATAAATTCAAATGGCAATATAGAAAATAGTTCTACAAACTTGTGAGCTCATGCAATGTCCCTTCTCACATCAATGTAAGACTCTTTCTCAATACGCACTCTCATGTGTGGCGAATTTTCATGCCCAACACGCAGACAACACAAATCGGGTGGTATAGAGCACGTGTGGTCGTTGGGCTTCACACAAAGGACAACATGCTCTAAAATCGTGAAAGAAGTTGAGGTTTGCCTTAAAACCAATTGACAATGTGGAGAGTAGCCTGACTTAGTTAAATCCATGCAAGATGTCTTCTCTTATCAATGTGAGATTTATTCTCTAACATGTTTGATATTGCAAAAAAAAATCATGTTACTCAATGGTATGTATCATTGTAGCCAGACTCCTTTAAAAAGTCTACATGACTTATGGTGATATATTTCTTCGTTATGTTGCAAGAAGTTTCGAATGCGTTAATGTTTAAAGTACTGAAAGGGAAAGTTTCATTAAGACGCAACTGTTTTCTTTTGTGACACAACAAGGTCTGTCCCAATTATTTCCGTTATGCCCTTGAAAGAGCCAAAACATAGCACAACCCAACCACAGAGAAATCTTGCAATAGGTGATGTTCTCATTGTCACATGTTGTTACTAATTTACGTGTTCAAATGATTGAACGCGGTAATTAATATTATAGACCTAAAATATAAAATTAATAAATAAACCTACATATTATAACATAAATAGATTAATAATACTACATGATGGTGTAAGAATCACACTTACAAGCTTATCCACTCATATTCAACAAATGGAAACTTTTATTTTCATAGTTTGAAGGTCACCCAAATGGGTGGATACAGAGAAATCATCACATGCAAGAACATAAGATATCATGTGCATGGCTTTTACTGTGAGGAAGTCTTCTCTACCACCTCCATTCTTTTTTATTTGTGAGGAACAAATTCAAAAACGATTTGGTGATGTCTGTTGTAGCCACCTTTACTTTAACTCTGAGGTCGAAACGATTTAGGTTGAGCATAATTAACACGTGCTACGCGACACCTGTACTTGAGTTTTTTTTATTTTTTTTTGTTTTTTTGTGGAGCAGATGAGTAGACAAAAGGTGTATTTTTCTAATTTTCAATAGACTCTTACTATATATCTACATTAAAGAGTGGAGTCAAGTCACAAAATGAGCAAACCTTAAAATTTTGATATTGTTCTTGCAATTGACAAGAGTGAAAATTTATTATAACTAGACAAAAAATATCATTTGACCTACAATGAATACCAAGTGAATGTACAATGACTTCTAAAAATAAAAGGAAATAAACCTCTACGAGATCATGAAGCAGATGGTAGCAGCGCAGTTTAAAAGGAGAGGTCGCACCACATGTACATAAGCTATTGGAGAACCAGAGAACAGACACCGCAACGTAACGTCTCTATCCAAATGTAAAAATAGAACCAGGAAAAGGACTGTAGACATCAAAATTTGGAATTTTCCTGTTTACACAGACACTGCGTTGCAATGTCTAAATTCAAATGTTAAAAAAAAAAAAAAAAAAAAAAAAAAAAAAAAAGGAGTTGCTCGAGGTTTGAAGCATGGAAGGTGTGTCTATAATGTGTGGGATTGACTTGATTCGAAACAAAAGAATTTGCACACTACTTAGTTGCAGGGTCTAAGTCCAAATGTAAACAATAGAACCAAGAAACAGACATTGCAATGCAACGTCTGAATCCAAATATAAAAACATAATTAGAAACGCTGCCAGTTGTAGTTGCATGAATTAGTAAATTTTGTTTGAAGTGATATAGTGTACCTCAAAGTTTCATTAACCTATTCATAATTAAAATAAATTTAATTAGTATATTAACAATATCATAACATTTTATTGATTTTATAAAAAATCACCCTAATTATATCATATTTATTTTATAACTGGCAACATTAATGCACCTTGATCACACTCTAATTGGCCGTAAACATTATCCGATTGTACCAACACCCATGTATTGGATTAATTGGCCGTAAATATTATACGATTGTACCAACACCCATGTATTGGATATATATTCCCTTCATCTTCGACGCATTGTAATTTGTATATAATAAATAATTACAGATGTAAAACCAGTGGCTCAATTGAATTGGTCGATGCTATTTTTCCAGCTATGAATTGTAAAAGCAATTTTAATAAAAAAAAATAACTAGCATATGGGCACACACAAAGTGTGTGAGAAAATTTTTATTTTTGTTTTTGAAATAGGAGGAAGAAAGAGAGTCATAGAGAATGTGGGAGTGAGAAGTTTTTTTTTAAAAAAAAAAATTAGAGATATGTTAGGATTACATGTAGGTGAGGTTTTGAAAAAAAAAAAAAAATTGGTTGTGTAAAGTTACATTTCTGTTCCATATTTTTATTCATGTTTTGTTTTAATTAGAGTGTTAAACTGGTAATTTCATAGAATTTTGGTTGACAGTGAGTGTTTTATTAATTAGTAGAGAAGTATAGATAATTAGTTTTGGTGAGTAAAAACAACCAATGTTAAATTAACTTTGGGATTTGTTTTGATTGAAAATTTGGTAGAAAGTAGAAACAAAAGTAAAGTCCAAATGGAAATATGGAGAATCCGCATAGTACTCTTTGGCGGGTCTTTTGAAGGCGTGGGACTGCAGTTGCACCCTCTCTCTCTCTCTCTCTCTCTCTCTCTCTCTCATATTACTATAAACTCGCCAAGTGATGAAACAATAACAAGGCTAAAACAACGCCTTCAAAGTCCTCAAATTTCTGATCAATTTGTTCTTCACCCATCACTCAACACTCTAGCCGCTGAAGCTCTCCGGTAAATCTCTCCTTCGGCTTTAGGCTTTCATTTTTTCCGTATTATTTTCTATACAATTGTAAATAATACCATATAAATATGCAAATGTGTGGTGGCTTTTATTTTATTTTATTTTAATTTTTTCTTTTTGCGGGTTTCTTTCGTTTCATTGCAATGATTGTAACATGTGGTGCTTGTTTTATTCTTCTGGTAGAGTTTTTGAGTATTCGAGGGTAACGAAATCGCGGGGTTTCGAGGATTCTTGGGTTGGCTTCATGAATGTGACAATAAGGAAAGAATTGTCTCGTTCATGGTCTGGTTGGTTGCCAGGAAAATCCATGCAGCGGACAAGAAAAAAGCAGGAAATTTTTTGAACGTCAATAAATGTCCAGAAAACTATCTTGTTCTAGCTGTAGGCCAAAGAAAAACTATCTTCAAATTCTTCTTTGGCCAAGATAAAAACCTGCACAATAGAAAAAAAAAAAAAAAGGGCCTTTTCTCGTTCCATCTTTTCCATATCCATTATTTTCTTGGCAGCTGAGTTTATGTTTTTCTCATCAACCCAATTAATGTTTCAACACAATTTTTTTTTTTTTAAAGTTTTTCATTTAATATAATATGTTGGGATTTTAGCAGAAATGGAGAGATTTAAATCTCCATTCAGGGGTATTGCGAACGATGTCCGAGGAAGAGCAGCATGCTATAAACACGATTGGGTTGGAGGTTTTCGCGCAGGAATCGGGTAAGTAATTTCCTATTTCTTTTACTCGAAACATTTAGAATCAAAGGTTTTGGATCTGTTTCACTCTCCTTGTTCTTTGGTCTTTGAAACTTTAATTTCGTGTGCCTTCGTTGTGCTAGGATTCTCGCCCCAACTACCTACATCTTCTTTGCTTCAGCTCTTCCTGTTATAACATTTGGAGAGCAACTGAGCACAGAAACAGGTTTGTTCATATTTTTCCTACCATGTGTAGATAGCATATCATAAGCCCTATGGAATATATATGCTATTGGAAAAAGAAAAAAACAAATTCTAACACGGAGCATAATTCACTGGATGCTCCTATTCTTCATCAGTTACGCGCGTGATGTGATACAAACATATACTCGTTTGATGAGTTTGAACTCACTTGGATTTTTCCTTGTCTAGATGGAATTTTGTGCACGGTAGAAACTTTGGCCTCTACTGCTATTTGTGGTATAATACACTCGATTTTCGGTGGACAGCCTCTCTTGATTTTAGGAGTTGCGGAACCCACTGTTATTATGTACAATTACATGTATGACTTTGCGAAGGGAAAGAAAGAATTGGGGCCTGAGCTGTTTTTGGCTTGGGTTGCATGGTAAATGACAAAACTTTAGAGTTTCAAAACTTACGATCCTCGGTGGCTATGCAAGGCAATATAAATTTTCACCTTATTCACTTTGAATTTTACAGGGTTTGGGTCTGGACAGCTCTTTTCCTCGTTCTTCTTGCAATATTCAATGCCTGTGATATCATCAACAGATTTACGAGGATTGCAGGCGAACTTTTTGGCATGTTGATTTCTGTTTTATTCATTCAAGAGGCCATCAAGGTAAGTTCTATATAGAAATAAGGTCATTTTGGATCTATCTAATACAGATGACGGAAAGGGAAGTAACAAAAGGTTGACATTTCAATGGAAGGGTATGGTCAGTGAGTTCAAAATTCCCAAGGTGAAGATCCAAAGTTGGAGACGTATCAATTTCAGTGGCTTTACACAAATGGACTGCTGGGGGTCATATTTAGTTTTGGACTCCTCTATACTGCTTTGAAGAGCAGAAAGGCAAGGTCATGGTGGTATGCAACAGGTTTGTCAAGCACAGTTTGATTCCCTTCGTTCTCTCATTACTACGATAACCTTTTCGTTTTGTGTGCGGAACTTGAGGATATTTACAATGTTTGCAGGGTGGTTCAGAAGTTTCATTGCAGATTATGGGGTTCCTTTAATGGTGTTAGTATGGACAGCACTATCATTTAGTGTTCCACACAATATTCCTCCAAGAGTTCCTAGAAGGCTCTATAGCCCTGTAGCTTGGGACTCTTCATCTTTACACCATTGGACAGTCATCAAGGTAAACTAATATTCAGGAAATTTTGTTGTTAATTGAGATTCAACGTAAGACTTGTAGTAAAATCAGATTAATGTCTTATGAAAGAACTCTTATACTTTTGTGTTTTTGCAAACACTTACAGTTTGAAGTAATTTTTTATTTTTTTCATTCTTTTTTGTAGGATATGGGGAAGGTTTCTCCTGGATATATATTTGCTGCCATTATACCTGCTGTGATGGTAGCTGGACTTTACTTTTTTGACCATAGTGTCGCTTCACAGATGGCGCAACAACAAGAGTTCAATCTAAAGAAGCCTTCTGCGTATCATTATGATATCTTGTTGCTGGGATTTATGGTAGGTGTAACAAACATATTAAGATGAAAGATTGTTTTGTCACCGTCAAGCAATTACTAATACGTTTTTCTCTTTCATAATTGGTCTCAGACGTTGCTTTGTGGATTGCTTGGGCTTCCTCCTTCTAACGGGGTCCTGCCACAGTCACCCATGCACACTAAGAGCCTTGCTGTTCTTAAGAAGCAGGTTTGTGTAGGGAATGTCCCGTCAACTATCTTGTTAGTCATTCAGCTAAATTAGATACTTATTCACCTATCCATATGCAGTTGATTCGAAGGAAAATGGTTAAGAGTGCTAAGGAATCAATAAAACAGAAAGCCAGCAACTCTGAAATCTACGGAAAAATGCAAGCAGTGTTCATAGAGATGGATAACTTGACTACAGTAATTTTTTTCTCAATTTGAACATCTATGCATTCAAATTCGCCACGTTAGCATAGCATTGATGTCTATCTATACATGCATGAATGTACATTTCATGTCTGCGTATGTCTATGAAAAATAAACCAACTTTAAGTTATCTGGTGATTTTAGTAGGAGAAAGATCAGAAAGATCTTCATTCGGGTGGTTCTTGAGTCTTGAATGTTTTTCATTGCAGCCTACTTCAGAAGTTAAAGAACTAAATGAATTGAAGGAAGCAGTTATGAAAAGCAAAAATAAAGAGGATGATGCAAAAAATGCATTTGATCCTGACAAGCACATTGATGCATACTTGCCAGTAAGAGTTAATGAGCAAAGATTGAGCAATCTGTTGCAGTCGCTCCTTGTGGCAGCATCAGTTTTTGCTATGCCTATCATCAAGAAGATACCGACATCAGTTTTGTGGGGATACTTTGCTTATATGGCCATTGACAGCCTTCCAGGGAACCAATTCTGGGAAAGGATGCTACTTCTCTTCATCTCCCCTAGCCGACAGTACAAGTAAGTAACCTTATTCTTTAATCAAGTAGCATGATGGTCTATTAACGTTGTTTCTTGAAACTGGCGGAATTTACATTAAGAGTTCCCCTCTAGGCACCAAGTTGAACAAAACGAAGTATTTTCAAATTTCCAAATCCCCCTTACAAAAATTACTAACGGTTTGTGTAGAAACTGACTTTCCTTGTATTAACACAGAATAATTGTACAATATTGGCGAGTACTGCTTTCCCAATCATAATATTAATTCAGTTGTGATGATGTTTGCAGGGTCTTGGAAGGGGGTCACGCTTCCTTTGTGGAGTCAGTGCCATTCAAATTCATAGCAATATTTACACTCTTTCAATTTGTTTACTTCCTGGTCTGTTTTGGTATTACATGGATCCCCATAGCCGGAATTTTGTTCCCCTTGCCATTCTTCCTTCTCATATGGATAAGACAACATATTCTCCCCAAATTCTTCCAATCATATCACTTGCAAGAGCTGGACTCAGCTGAGTGGGAGGAAGTCGTGGGCGCCCCAGTACACTCTCTCAGTATCAATTCTGGGGTATATAGTATTCATATTTGTCCGATGACTAGTGTCATCATCATTGCTATCTTAGCTATTTTTCTCCCTCTAAATCTGAACAATGTGCTTCTCTTTATTAGAAATCAGAAACTTCTAACGAAGAAGGTGAAATGGAGATGTGTGATGCTGAGATATTAGACGAATTAACAACCAGCAGAGGGGAGCTGAAGATCAGAGCGAGCTTCAGTGAAGATAGACGAACGAGCTTCAATGAAGAAAGGCATGGCCAGGTACATCATCTATAATTTTTTTCATTATGTTTCCGATATGTATGTATTAACATAATGTGCTGCCTATTGTGTTTTGCAGGTTCACCCTCAAAAATTAGGCCAAACAGGGTGAAATGTGAGTCAAAGGGAATGAAATGTGAAGATATTGTAGGCATGAGATTTGACTTGAGTAGTAGCTAAATGTAACAGAAGAAGATTACTGTGAAAGTGAGATCATAGGAAGAAGATTTTCTGCAGATTAATTAGTTATTATGGTTGAGGTTTGAATTGGTAGTCATCATATATATTAATATCATTCAAGATGCTTGATGCATTTTGATGGCTTGCAATTGAAGCCATGTTCCCTGTAAAATAGTTCAGATCAGACACCTTAATTATTTATCAAGGTTAATTTTTCAAATACCATTATTTTAATTTTTTTTAACCAGTATATTAGAGATTTTTATGGTAATATTGCAAGTTGTAGATTGCTCCGGTGACTAGTATTTTCGAGTCCAACCTACAATGTCTTGAGTTCAAACTCTCTAACTCCCAATCTCTTAATCTAGACATAGTTTAAAGTACTAGTATCGGCTGTAATAAAAAATTAAAAAAAATGTTGAAAAATATCTCCTAAGTAAAAATAAAACATATGCACAAGTAACAAAAATGAACTAAAATTGGGGGGAAAAAAACCCATAAAGCAATTTTATTGGAAATATATTATGATCAGCAGACTAGACAATGCTCCCGACAAGACATTGATATTCAACTCACTAAACATGGTACTCCTTACAAATGCAATAGTTAAATTATAGTCAATGGTATTGGATTCTTGAGATCAATCGTGGCCCAAATTCAAACAAATTGCTAGGCCTGGTGATGAAAATTTATGAGAAATTTATGAAGATAGTAATGTTGATGTTATTAATCTACATGTTATAATATTAATAACAACATAATTGATGTCATGGACGTAAACATATGGTATTAATAATTAAACGAAGAATTGTTGGTATGTCATCAATAGTGAAGAACTGTGTGTTACAAATTTGTAGAACTACAAGTGAAAAACTGTGATTTAGTACTGCAAATCTAGTGAGTGATTGAGGTTCTGAATGGCATTGGAAGTGTGGTTTTTCAATTGGATTGGAATTGTGGCATCTTGAATTGGATTGGAATTGTGTTTATAGATTGGATATGTGATTCAATACTAGGTATGTAGTTTGAATTGGATATGTGGTTTATTGAATATTATGTATGTAGTTTTAATTGAATATGTGGTTCATTGAATTGAATATGTTGTTTATTGAATTGGAATTTGATATGTGAACTGAATTAAATATATGGTTTATTGAATTGAACTAGATATGTGAATCGGAGATGTACTAATTTTAATTTGATATGTTGAATTGAAGATGTGCCATATCAATAATTGGATATATGTTGAACTGATGGTTGTGATATCTTCATGAACAAACAAACCAATCTAGTACACCTACACCTTTCAACTAGAAACTCCCTCAAATGAACAATATCTTCATGATGATTATCATGAAGATGATTGGGACTATGATCCTGATGTGAATGACGATATAAAATTAAAAGTAGGGGAAAATGAAAGTATGGAGACAGTGTCGGTGGGAACATACATAATACAACCATACGTCAGAGTGGCAACATGTCAACATACATAATACAAATATACACACCTTTGATGAGTTTGAACACGCTTGAATTTTTCCTTGTCTAGATGGAATTTTGAGCATGGTGGAAACCTTGGCCACTACTGCTATTTGTGGTATAATAACTGCATTTTGGGTGGACAACATCTCTTGATTTTAGGAGTTGCAGAACCTGCCACCGTCCACAGCTGCGCAGGTGAATTTTTCGGCGACCAAAAATGGCGCATGGTGGGGCGTGACTTTTTGGGCCGACATCCTGTGCGGCACGTGGGGTAACCCAAGGTCCTTACTTACGTTTCTCGATGTGACAAATCGGAAGTTGCCATCTGTTTTCCCAGATTTGACTGTTTTAATATAGTTCCGTTAATTACCGTACTTTATACAATTACACGAGTTTATGTAAATGGTTTGGTATCTAGGTGAAAACATCTCAAGGACTTCCAAAAACCTGCAAGATGATTTTGACTCGATGAATGAACTATGAGTGGGCCTTTTTGCTTTAATGACTATTAATACTATATGGTTTTCCTCGATAACTGTTTATGCATATTTGATGTGACATGGCATGTTTAGCTTACAAGCAATCAGTACATACATTGTACATTATAATATTTTTTGTAAGCATAAACTTGTGGCATGAGACCCTTACATTTTTATCTGCTCATTATTACATGTTTGCACAGTGTCTTTTAGATATTTGTACTATCCTAGGCCAAGGACCAGCTTCATATATAGTTCACATTGCACAATGTCTCTTCTACACAAAACTCAAAATGCACACCTCTTCAATCTAAACTTCGTGGTAAAAAACCTTGTCGAAGAGAACCCAAGATTAAGCATTGTATTTGGTAAATTGAACCCCAAAATGAATGGTTTGGAATAATTTAGAGACATCGTTTTGATTTGTTTGGAGTTTGGACCCAAAGTGAAGTGAATCTAGAGACATCGTTTTGAATTGTTTGGCCCCCGTAACATTTGGTACTTGTTGAGTTTAGTTGGGCTGTTGAAGCCACACAATCTTATCCCTTCCGAGTTCAACACTTCGCTCACTTTTAAGCCCTCACTTCTGTTAGATTGTGTGATTTTGTACTGTGATTCAATGGATCTAAGAAAGATTTCTGGAAGAATGATTGAATAATTTCATAAAGCTCTCCAGTGATGGAAACCTCACACACACTTCATTGAATTACTCCCTTTTTCTTACATAGCAAAACGAATATTACCGTTGCACCTAGGAGGGAATACTACCCTTCTCTCTCCTCTAACAAAATGAAAACAATCTCAGCCATTCGTGTCATCTATCCTATGAGATAGTTACATGTGTCACTCAACACCACTTACTCTAACTTAATCTAGAGCATCCATTTGGAACGTAATCTAAGGGCTCTGATTAAAACAAGTAAATTGAATAAACTTATTTAAGCTAAAGTCACTTAAATACTAACACTCCCTTCTAAGTGTTTAGCTGAAATCATTCCCAAAGCTTTCCTCAAGTACTCAAATCGATCCCTTGCCAAGGCCTTTGTAAATATATTAGCAATTTGTTCCTCAGTTCTGCACTAGATCAGATCAACTTCACCATTCTACAGTGCATCTTTGATGAAATAAAACCTTCTGTTTATGTGCCTTTGTCTTGTGGTATGCTACTGGATTCTTTGAAATTGCAATGGCAAAAGTGTTGTCACATAGGATCTGAGTAGGCTCCACTTGTTCCTCTCCAAAATCTGAGAGAAAAAACCTTAACCAGATGGCTTGAGCAGTTGCTTCTGCAGCACTAACATACTCAGCCTCTGCAATGGACAGTGCTACACTACTTTGTTTGATTGAAGCCCAAGAAAATGCTCCATAACCAAAACTAAAAGCATATCCAGAAGTGCTTTTCATGTCATCCTCACTCCCTGCCCAATCATTATCATAATAACCAATAAGGACAACATCTTTGCCTTTTTCATATGCAATTCCATAGTCTAGAGTTCCTTGGATATATCTCATCACTCTCTTTGTAGTTCCTATATGTTTTTCTAGTTTGATTGTGCATGAATCGAGCTAGCAAACTTGCAGCAAACATGATATCAGGTCTTGTAGCTGTTAGGTATAACAAGCTACCAACCATCTACCTATAAAGACTTTCATCAGCCATTTCACTCCCATCTTTTTTGCTAAGTTTTTCATTTGCTACAAGTGGAGTTGCAACAGGTTTGCAATCGTTAAATTCGAACTTCTCTAATAAGGTCCTTGCATATTTCTTTTGATGCAAGAAAATGCATCCTTCTGTTTGAATCACTCCAAGCCCCAAGAAATGATGCAATAAACCAAGATCGGACATTTCATATTTTCTCATCATCTCTGTTTTAAAATCATTGATCAATGCACTTGAAATTCCAGTATATATAATGTTATTCACATACAAGGATACAATGAGAATTCCTGCCTCAGTTGCCTTGATGTACAGAGTTGCCTCACTTGGACTTCTATGAAAACCAGAATTGCAGAAATAAGACTCAATCTCTTTGTACCAGGCCCTTGGTGCTTATTTTAAGCCATATAAGGCCTTCTTAAGCTTGTAAACCTTGTCCTCTTTGCCTTCAATTACAAAACCAAGTGGTTGGTCTACATATACTTCTTCATTAAGAACCCCATTCAAGAATGCAAATTTCATATCAAGTTGGAACAACTTCCATTCTTTTTGTGCAACAAGTCCAATTAGAGTCTTAATAGTGTCAAGCCTTGCCATAGGGGCAAATGTCTCATTAAAATCTACCCCCAGGCTTTTGAGAGTATCCCTTAGCAACTAACCTTGCCTTATTCTTCTGTATAGACTCATCTCGGTTCAATTTTGTTTTGTAGATCCACTTGACACCAACTACTGGCTTATCAAATGGTCTATCAACAAGTTCCCAAGTGCAGTTCTTCTTTATCATGCCAATTTTTGCCTCCATTGCCTTCTGCCATGACTCATCTTGTGCTGCTTCCTTAAAGTTCTTATGCTCAACAATGCACAAGTTGCATGTTGCATATACTTATGTCAAGCTTTTGAACTTCAAATGAGTGTGATCATAGTCTTGGGGACCTGTGTTATTCTACATTGGAACCAATCTTAAGCCATTTTCAATTGACTTACAAGCTTCAGATGCTGACTCATCATTTACATTATGTCTGTCACTTGAACTCCGTTCTTCCCTTTGTTCACACATTTCTACTTTAGGCATTGGTACACTGATGGTCTTCTCAGATTGAAATTTCCAATCTCAGTAAGCATTTTCATCAACTTTCACATCCTTTGACACAATTATCTTCTTTAAGACAAAGTCATAAAGTCTGTAACCTTTCTCACATATGCCATATCCCAAGAATATGCATTTAGTACTGGTTTCATCTAGTTTCTATCTAAGTTAACTTGGAATGTGAGCATAACATATAGAACCAAAGATCTTTTAAGTGTTTAATTCCTGGCTTCCTCCCATTATATGCCTTAAATGGGGTATTCTTATCAAGAGACTTAGTGGGACATCTATTTAAGATGTACACTGCTATGTTGATAGCTTCTGCCCAAAAATCAAATGGAACACCCTTCTTAACCATCATACACATTGACATTTCCACTATGGTTCTATTCTTCCTCTCAACCACACCATTCTACTGTGGTGTGTAGGTCACTGTTAACTATCTTTCCATGCCCATTTCTTCACAAAACTCTCTGAAGTCAACATATGTATACTCCCCCTCCTCTATCATTTCTCAACTTCTTCA